TGCACGGCAGGATCACGCGGCAGGATCGCACGGATGAGGGTGTAGTCGCATTTGCAATCACGACACCGGAATCCAATTCCCTCTATTCGCGACGCTTTCGTTTCTCATGGCTGGGCGGAGCGGGACGGGTTCTGGAAAGAGGCAGCCATCAATCCGTAGACGGCGAGTTACGGGGTTCAAGCTGACTCGCGAAATCGGACGATGAGCTTTCGTTCCCGTCCGATCGATTTCACGTCTCTCCCGCCATAATTTATTTAAAGCAGACCCGTTCACCTGCCAAAGAGTAACCGACAATTAGCGGGAACGATATTACGAGGTTCGCGCGCCACGAGGATCGTGATATATACGGAATTCCTAGGAAATTCGATCGCACGCGATATCTCTAGCGACGCTTATTATCGCGAACCGCGTTCCGTCACGAGCTGTTCGATTAATTCGTCAACTTGCACCGACGTCACTGCTCGTTATACTTACCACGCTATGCATATTCCTATCTTAACCTGATCTTCCGTTGTTTTTCCCATAAATACCGCAGACAGAGAAGTCGGAAAATCGACGTACGGATCTCGGGTTGCCCGCATTGAAATAATTACTCGCGTCGGATTGGTCATGTCGAATCGTAATTACGTCGTGTCGAATAATTATTAATTCGTTCCGGTAATTTCGTTCGAAGCAACGAACGTGAGCGTTCGAAACATTTTCCTCGAGTTTTGCTTCTTGCTCCCGGACAAAGCATAATTAACAAGGAACGTGTAAAAGAGAAACGAATGAAATACCGGAACACCGCGGTCTGTACTGATGATACGAAATATATAAAAGTAGAAATATTTTCCTACGTTTATTCGTACTCCCGTGTCATGTAATTTCTCGGGCAACATCGCGCAATCGTGAGAGCTTCGCGGTCTTTCCATTTTCACTACCAACCCTGTCGAAACGTCGAACAAAGGAACGTTTATAAAATGTATGAAACGCGAAGAAAAATATAAAATGGAACTGTAATGAATAGGCAACCAGCTTGTGTGTTTGACATGAACAGTATTTCACATTACAGCTGAAATATTAAAATTTCTTCTGCTCAGGGAGCCGGATTTAGATGGGCTGTATTAACGTTCAACGAAGCTTTCGTTTCGCCTCTTTAATTTTGCACAGAGCCTGAATAGACGTTTCTAATTAAATGGCAAAATTAACCAGTTTCGCGTAGCTGGCCACGGTTAAAGACTTGCTCGGTTCGCGATGCGCGACTTCAGCTTGCGATTATCGGTTAATTAGCTTGGTAAACCTCTACTTTGTTTACAGGAAAAAAGAAAATAGAAACGAGATGGACCAAACGTGTTCTCTTCGAGTTCTCAACTTTTCCATAAAACCGTACCTTTCTCTCTGTCTCTCCTCTCCCGTTCCGTGTTGAGCTCGTGTCTTCTTCGTTCGTCCATTATTATTTTTATTTCGAAAGTTTGCGCTCGCCGTTCACAACAAGGCGTTTGGAAATTTCAGGTCGAACTTTCGTGCCCGGGTTGCTGGTGGCGAAAAGTAAAGAGAGAATATAGAAAACTTCATAAAGCGGAAGCTAAAGGGGAAGTCGTACTTTCACGAATCGGCTCGACGCTGGCCCGATATTTGACGAGCGAGACGCGAGCCGAAAGTTTACAACGGAGCTGTTTCGCGCTGTTACGTCCTATTCTTTTCTATTTTTTCTTCCACCGTGTTCTCGCCCGTTTCCTTTCCTTAGCTTTTACAAGCAACCGCGTACGTGGAAAAAATGTAAGAAACGGAATTAGCGGGAAAGTCGGGGCGAGATGAAGTGGAATTACCGGCAACGAAGAGGCTGCGAACTCGTGTAAATTTCATACGGCGAGCATACCGCGCGAAAGGAGAACAATAAAGACGTTTCATTCCTTTATAAACAAATCTTCATTCCGTTGTTCTTCGGCCGCGCTGGAAAAACTAAAGTGTCGCTAAATCAAGAGGGCTTTAAAGTTGCAAGAAAGCACGGCACAATAACTCGGAATGAAGTTCGAATTTTACGACGACTCGTATGAAAGGAAAGAGCACAATACACAGCACTACGAATTATCTCGTAATTTAAATGAGAAAACGGCGTGTTTCTGAATAAACTTACCTAGCTGAATACTTTCCTTCGAATTTTTCCCTTTGTTCGACGAAACAACGGGTAAAGCGTCGTCAACCGGGTCTTAACGAAGACGCGAATCAGCCGGCGTGAAATATAAATTGCGAAGATATGCCGATCGATTCGAGATACCCGTTCGCGCGAAAATTCCCGCTCGCTTCCATCGACGTGCCAGTATTTCCAGACAACGCAACGATTTTCGATCAGTCGCGTCATTTTCCCGTCATATTTCATTCGTCGCTGGCAACCTCTAGACGGACCGTGTCTCGGTCCAACGATCGTTGTTTCGCTTTTATTTTTATTCCGAAAATGCTACGTGTTTGCCCCGGTGCAACGGCGTGACTGAATTTTTTAACGAAACGAACCAGGAAAAAGGAAATTCCCGATTCTGACCTTATAATCCTGTCGCGAAGACCGCTGAAATTCACTACTACGCGAAATTGGAACGAGTGTCGACAATTATATCGGCGGTACCGCCGGCAAGAAGAAATTAGTTTCTCTGATATTCAATTTTAATAGCTCGTAAGACCGCAAGAAGGAACAGCCGTTCTATTCTTCCTTTCTTGCTTTCCATCTCATTGGCTTCCTGCCTTGCCCGCGAAAGTCCACTAAAGATTGTTCGATAACTTCGCTTTCCGGGATACCACGGCAAAGAAAATTCCGTGCACGAAGGAACGATAAAACAAAGGACAGGAGAACAACGATAACTAATTTCAATGGGCCGTCAAATACGGGTGAACACTATTAATTACCGATAACAATTGTCCATTAATTTTGCCGAGCGTTTATTGAAATCATAGCGATATCGCGATACGATTTCGACGAGCCAATAGGGAAATTCCCAATTAAGAATTATCACAAAGATATTCCTGTCCGTTTAACCCCATTGCTGAATCTATTTCGTACATATTTAGCTTTTAATCTGTCATTAATTGCGCGACAGTGCTGGCAACGAGAAAACGAGACATTTCGCGTAATTACGATACAATGTCGGACCGTGTTTAAGTCAGCATGAGTAATTAATTCGGTAAATCACTGTTTCAGCGCAATGTCGTTACAACCGCTAATATATACCTCGTAGGCTACTTTGTCAACGCGCGTTTGTCGTCAAATTATATTATTCGTTCCCTAGTTACAATCGTTTCATCTCCGATTATTATAAACCTCTCGCTTCACCATTCACCATCTGACGCAGCCAACACGTTTCTGGCCAAATATAATGAAAGAGCGAGAGAGAGAGAAAATGGAAATTATTTCAACGAAACGCGTATGTTACCTTGCAGTACAGCTTATTCCAAAAACACTTCGCCAATGCTTTCTGCTAATTGCAGCAGCGAGCTCGCTGTTAATTACAGCAAAGAAATTGCTCAAAAGGCTTTCACGGTTTCGAAGAAATCATCGGCTTGTGCCATCTCCCCGTGAATCAACGAAGCAATTTAACACCCCCGGGAACCTTCGGAATCGTATTCCGATTAAAATCACGGAATTACCAAATTTTCGCTCGCTTGCAATTACAGGAAAATATCCTCTAGTTTCGGGGACATTCTCCCGATGCTTTTCTTTCCTCGTAGATTCGTAAATAGAGTCGGTAAATGTCGGTGAAGTCGTAACGATGCATCAACAACGTTTCGATGCTACTTAATAACGTCTCTTTATCAACGATTTTCTCGTAAACGCTCGGGAAAATTATGGCGTAATTACAACGCGTGCCGTCCTTTCGTCGCTCAACAATCACTGGTTCACGTAGCAACATTTTTATTGCTCTGTTCCAGATTATTGTCGTTCCGTCTGGCTGCCTCTGCACACAGCGTAATCTAGTTTACGCTGTACAGGAAATGTTAAGCACGGAGACGCACGCGGCACGCAGCGGCCGGAAAAACCCGTGAAAAACGCGCGTTGTCGTCGTCATAACCGTTCCTTTTACGAGGATACACAGTCGTCCTGCACGTCGTGGAATGGTCCGGATGCAAAGGTCGAGGGAGCTCGTTCGATAGCGAGAGCCCCCGGCAATTCTTTTGTCCTGCATTTTATCCTAACGCGACGGACGACAAGCGGGCACAATGCGTTTCCTACGAACGAAATTAGTACGCCGACAGTGGCAACGCGGATGCACACGAGCACGGGATACATTGTCGCTAAAAGGTATTGTGTCTGAACGCAATTAAATGCGTCTCGTTCAGCGAATCGATTTGCCACATTTAGCCTCGCGTGTCGTTAATGAGCGGTATTTCTGTTCTTCGACTTTAGCCGCGATTAGATCCTATTTGCACGACACCGTTGTTCCTCGAACGTCGGCTAAATTAGCCTGAAAATGCGTACAGAGCGATACAAAGTTGCAACCTTTTCTGTCATCTTTCCTCTCTTTTTCAGTTTTATATAGTTTATGACGCGGCGACGATGCAACGGTGTCCGAAGTCAAGAGACTCGTTAATTTGGGAAAACATCCGATCGAATTGCCCGCCAAGCCATTACAGCTGATCGTTGTTTCTGTAAACTTGGATACGTAATCACAGGGGACATCCATACGTCCGTGACGATCGGATTGTCAATCAGTAAACGTCACTTCAGTTAAAAACATCGGTCGTCCTAAAATCACGATGTCGTTCACCGGTTTCTGTCAGTTTTGCATTCGGCCTGCGAATTTCTGCGTTTCGAACCTTCTCCGTGCTAATTGGGCGAGTGATTTGGAACGAATGAAACTCGCGAATGGGAACATTCGCTTATCCCTTTTTTCTCTTTATTTTTTACATTTTTTTTTTCTTTTTATTGCGCTTTCAATCAATGCAACAAAGGCGAAACAAACAACGTTGCGTAACAGGAACAATTGCAACGTAACAAGAAATCTTTGGTAATGGACTTGACAACGATGTTTCGTTTAATGGTGATGTCCTCCGCTGTGGTCGTTGCCATCGCTGTTGAGAACGTGAGCGAAAAATCCGTCCTTCCCTGCGCGATATTTCACCGTTCTAACGTTACCACCGGGCTCTTTTATCGTGTATTCACCGACCACTTCTTTACCTGCAAAGGACAGTCAAAAAAGTGATTATTATCGGAGGCGAACGAGTATATCCGAAATATAATCCGAGCATGTAAATAATTTTACGCTCCAGCGACCACTATTTGTTTTCGCTGGCGTGAAACGGATCTGGCGGAAAATTATTTCATCCCCGAGTGAAAAAATTGGAGGAGTAATTTTCTCAAACGAAAAATCGCTGGGAAAAATTTACATAACACGGCGAGAAAACAGCGGAGAGAAAAATTACGTTCGAACAAAATGAGTAGATCCATGGTACGAGGTGAAAAGCTGTTCTCAAAGGGTTATCGAGCTGCTCGACGAGATATATCCCTTTCAGACGAGTCAACAGTCAGTCATCGTTCAGGGTTGGTTGCTGGAATTATCTCGCTTCAGATGCATCCGTTTCGTTGCATCGTCTTCTAATTTGCTCGTGAAACATGAAGTTGCATGTCTCGAGTGCAGAGAAGAGACGACAAACTCACGCACAAATGGCATTCATATTCGACGTGTAGCTAGTTAGCGGATTAACGTGATAAGGTGAAAAGGGATAGGTTTATCAGCAGCTTCGTCGTATCGCGAATTATTTCCGAAGCAAATCCCCCTGTCGCGAGTAATTAACGAAGCCGCGAGTATTTCTTCTCGCGGAAAGGCCGGGACGTCAAACGCACTTCGAGATACCGATGTTGTCTCTTGAGTCTACCAGTCGAGCAATTTTGAAATTTCCTCGTTGAACGAGTCTTGCATGAGTCCGCAATCGAGCACGATTAAGTCGAGACGTTGCCACGGCAACCAAGATTCGCGATAGATAATTACTTCTCCCGCATAACATCGCGATCTCGTTAACTCTATTAAATGGCCGACAAATAACCAAAGGAGAGGAGCTTAAAGGAGTCGTGCCGTGGGCAAGATGTTCGCTGAAAGGTAAATTCTTTGTATTCTCGTTTGAATTTCAGCCTTTGCGTTGACCGAGTATTTCCAAATACATCGCAGATATTCCAAACGATTTTTTGTCAGACCAGAGTTAAAAATCACTCGAAGCTACTCGGCGCCTATTAAACTATCCGGCGGAAACAAGCTTCTCAACTTTTCGACGTTCGAGAGTCATTAATGTAGGCCACCGTCTGGTTTTAATTAGGCCGATTACATAGAAACGAAGGTGGAAGAAGCCGTGAATGTTAGGAGACTTGCGACAAACTCTCGAGTTCAAAAGGGTGCGCAAACGAAGACGACTTTCGAAAGCGTCCTACGCGCTCGGGACGCCTTTCGAATCACGGTAAACTAATTAAAAGACGCGACTCGAGGATCCAAGTATTTTCCATGGATGGAGCACGGGAAGATAAGTTTCAACTCGAGAAAAGAACGCGATGTCTCGGAACGTTCCTTCGATATTCCAGTCATGATATTTCAAGTCCTTCCGCGAAAGATCATCCTCGTTTCTTACACTTCCCATCGATTCGTCATTTTGCCTACCACGTTCCCGCACTGCTTCTCGCGACGGCGCTGTACCGTATGTCCGTCGCTTATGGTCGTACGACACGAATCAGGATAGCTTTCTTTTACCAGAGAAAGAGAACGTTAATTTTTATTTTATTTTGTGACGAGTGACCTACCGTCTCTGTGCTCCTTTTGCCCGTGATAGTCCCCGGTGTGGTGATCTTCCACGCCATAAGAGAACTCGTAGTGCGGATGTGCCACGTAGTCGTGATCATGATGGCCGTGCTTGTCATCCCAAGTCACCTCGCGAGCATGGCCTACCACGGGTCCGTGGAAATGTTGGAAGGAATGCGCGTGGCCGTTAGCCTCCACCTTCCATTCGAACAGAACCGACAGCACCAGAATGGATGCGATAAACTATCGGAAAACGGTTAATTTTGCATCATTTGTGTATCGGAAACGTTTTTTGCTTTTACTTTCACGGCGACGAGAATAAAGGGAAAAAGACCGGTGCAGTTCGGTTTTCGGAATTTCGAGAATTTCGGAAGAACCAGGATTTGCAGGACAAACGGATAGGTCGAAACGTTTCCATCTTGGAAAGAATTTCCAATTTACAAAGTGATTAACCGATGTCACGAGGAGTCGATAAAACTTCCCGTAGACTAGGACGATCCTGTTAGCTCGCCAGCGTGCCCATCTCTAATTAAATGGTACGAAACGATTGATCGGACCCGCCACTCGAAAACTTCGCGTACACCGATCGGGATGAGACGAAAATGAGGAATAGTCGATTACGCGATGTACACTCACTTTAAAAGCCATATCACTGTCGGCTCGCCGTGCTGGGCCCCGATGTAAACAGACAGAACAGATCGAACGATCGATATCAGTCGTCCGCGATCGTCCGAAAACTGAGTAGTTCGGCCCGATGGTATTGTTCCTTTTATAGGTCCACTTTAAAAGTTTCCCTCAGCTTAATTCTTCTTTGGATCCATGCCCGGAACTTTGCCGCTGCAGACGTTGCAAAACACAATTATTCAAGCGGGCCGAGGCCGCAAAAAGCGTCGCGCGGTGCTCGCTCGAGCGCACATTAGCCAATCCCGGCACACTAATGGAGTTCGTTGGGAAAGAGGACGAAAAAATGGAACGCAGGAAAGGCATTCGTTCTTTCGAGGTGACACACGCGTATCGATCATGGGCATCGCCTGCGCGTCATGCACGATAGATCCCACAGATTGTGTTACGAGTTTCCACTTTCTTCTCGAAGGCTGTTCTCCGCCGCGATAGCATGCTCCATTTCGTCCGAAATTCTGTGTTACGTCGGGATTGTTTAGAAACCAGATTATCGTAACTCGACGTCGTGCCGCGGAAGCTGCTCCTCCGTTCGTTCCGCGTGCTTTCGCGCTACGTGTCCTCTTAAATACGAACGTGTACTGCTCCATCGAGGACACACCTCGATTGCTTTCTCGAGCATCCGTAAAATCCCGATTCGCGGACGGTTGACTATTCGAGTATATTCCTTCCATTATTTCCCTCCTTTCGCGTGCACCAGGCTAAAGGAGTCACAGGCTAATCGAGACTTTTTGCATGTTCAACTTCTCGCGTCGATGCGCCTACGTCTACCTCTTCGAGATTAGAACCGCAACGACGGATGAAAGGGGTGTAACGTTCTCGTTCGACGGATTTTATTAGCGGCGAGGAAACGACGGCCGGACGCGATGGTACTGCTGAATATTCCCACCATTGATAGGTAGAGGCAGAATTTTTTATTCCCGCCAACGATCCTTACGTTATTAACAAAAACTACAGGATTCTGTTTGCTCTGTCGCGAAGCGAGATGGTTCTCGCCGCTAGAGGAACGGGACAGAGAGACGAGAAGAGGACGGATTCTGGCACACGATGTGCTGGAGCGGCGGAAGTGCTCGAAGAGGCGCTCGGCTTTTGAGTTATGACACTTTTTGAGTCGAGGAGTCGCAATGTGAATGGCGCATCCGAGTCCAGCGTAATATCATAGCTCGATCTCAGGGTTGGGTCGACGATAAATCTGCCTTAAATAAGATTTGCCGGCGACACTCTAGCGAAATAAAAGGAACGGACCGGGTCGAGAGGCAGCCACGGTTTACCTTGCTTCGACATCGCCCCGTCCACCTGACTGATTGCTAATTTTCGATTTACCACTGCGCAGAACTCGACTGCAACTTTTAACGAAATTCCCCGAATATATTTCTAGGTGGGATAAATGGCAGCTTTCGTCTAGGTTAGGATTTGTCAACCTCTTCTGGTTTACGACAGCGATACCAAACGCTGGTCCGCAAGGTAACGTTGAACGTAAAAATAAATTTTAAAATAAACGTAAAATCTCAACTTTCCAGTGTATACGTAAATGGCTTTTTTTCTTGTTCCCTAACATATATTTTTTACCGATGAATGTTTTTCCTCCGCCCCTCGAAACTCCATGCTCTCCTTCACCTATATTCTTTCACATCCGCAAAAGTTTGAATTCATAAAAAAGCACGTATACTTGTATCGTACCCTCGCGTTGGTCATCCAATCCCAGATTCTTCCATTTCTCGCGTGGCCAGAAAAATTCGACGTTGAACACCCTGAAGGACCACACGGTTCGCGTGGAGAAATTCCGGCCTGGATCGTGGAACGAATTTTCCGCGCGCTACCTGTATCAAAATTTTCCTTATCGATCAAACCCGACTGCTTGGCCGTCGTTTCATTGCTCACGTTTTATGGTGCACGCGACGCATACGTGTTTCCGAATTCCTGTCATACGCGCGAACACGTGATGCTGGAATCGTATTCATATTTCAATCCCGCGAGACGAGCTCTTGGAATACAACTCCCTGCCTATACCCGCAAACGAGAAATTGGCACACCTTACACGATAAATCACGGTGCTGCACGAGTACGTATAGCTTCCCCAGTACACCTTACTTTCGTCTTGTTTGCCTCCACTTTTACCCACGTTCGCGGATATTACGCGCGATACAAAGAAAATATTTTCCGCCTCGTTCCCACCGTCATTTCCTTCGCGGTCCATTAAAGCAGAAATCCTATTTAAAAAATCCCTGCTCAAAGGACTCGATCACTTTCCCGATCTCCTACTCGAAACTACGTACACGAGCGAACTATTTTAATTAAACCAAGTCTATCTGAAAGCTCAACCTCCCTCCTGGCCGTGTACTCATCGATGGTCCTTGATCTCTATCTTCCGCGACAAAATCAATATCAATAGATATTCGAAATCGGTGGACTTGCTACGAACGATTTGGGAAGCTCGTAACGCTTTACATGGTAAATAAATGCCACGATTCTTCTCTCCGCGTCGAGCTCACGCGATCAGCGAGGAGCAGGAAAGCGCGAGCACCTAACCACCATCTTCCAGAAACTCGAACCCTTTGTCCTCCGAGGGCACCGTGGCGTGCAAGCTCACGGTGCAGCGTGCGCGGATGAAATATGCACACCGTGGAGAAAGAGACGGAAACGAAGCGCGAGGGAGAGCAAAGTGGAATCCTAGCCACGAAGGATAGGAGCGGAAACAGCGTTCCGTGTATACGCCAATGATTCCCAGGTAATATCGCGATACGAGAAGAGATAGAAGAGCAGGAGACTGAAAGCTGAGGGGTAAATCGCGAGATTAACGTCGGGCTCGTTGTCTACGTAACGCGGTGCTACACTCACCCTTTTATCCCTAACCGCACACACGAGAGTCCATTGCGACCAACCCTCCGCGGGATGATGACTATGTTCCGAGTATCCTCGGGACAAATTCCAAGGAGATAGTTCTAGCTAGAGAAAGACGAATAGTTCTGTTTGCCCGTGAATTCGAAGGCGCACCCAACCTCTTCCGCTCTCCCGCTCGTCCTTCGTTCCACCGACGTTCTTGTCTCTGTTTCTTTTGCTTCCTCTGGAAAGCAGGAACGCGGCATCCTCGCTGCCATCTAGCTCTCCAGGGCGTCGACCACCGCTTCTCGTTTATGGGTCACGATCTATCCCGTGCCTCTGGGACAGAGAGCGACGACACGCTATCCAGAATTCCTCCTTGACCTCCATTCGCGGTTTGGAATTCCAAAACAACGAACACGCTCTCGCCACTCGTCTTACCGCTACTTCCCACGAAGATACTTCGAGGAAGAAGCTCGGTGATGGCGGAATACTCCCGCGCGGCGCGTTTCCTCGGATACCGCAGTTCTCTCTCGAATTATTTTTCATGGAAATCTGCAGGAAGATGTGCCCCGGAAACAATATCCGCCGTTTCGAGAGTTATCGGACATCGTTTCCTTTCATCGACGAAGCTCGTTAATTATCTCGCTGGGAAAGTTCGGAACAAACCGGATATCCTGTCTCTGTCGAATACGAGATGCCCGAATCGAACCGAGTGGAACTGGACGATACGAGATGGCGGAGGAATTTCGAAAGATTTCAGCGTATTCGAGCGCGAGCGAGCGAGTTGGATGCATTCCAGGGTTTCCTTCGCACGCGAATCTTCGCCGGCGGATATGGCCTGGACATTTTCCCTGTTACCTCCCGCGGTGTTGGCTCCGCTAACGAGCCGAAGCATTTTCCGGGTCCTTGCTAATTTTCCAAGTATACCGATTACAGGCTGATAGCCGGCGCCCGGGTCACGCGGGTGTCGCCGGGTTAATTGGTTTTCATGCCAGCACTGAAGTTACGGATACCCTGCCTCGGATTATCGTGCGCTGTAAACAGTGGTCTCCCCGCGATACGCCGCAGAAGGGGTCAGGAACCTGGCTTTCGTTTCGGAAGAAATATCCGCCCTCGTATTTTCATGGTTATCCTGTTCACGCTGTTAGTACTTAATTGCTCGAGTTTACTTTACGCGAAACGAAACGGTCTCCTCGGAGAAAAATAAAAGGGTCGTGGTACGTGTCGCTGATGGAAGCGGGCGAAACGTTCTAACGATCGTGCAATTACCAAGTGCACCCAACGTACCTCTATGAGCGGTGTTTCAAAACGTATCATACGCTTGAGAATGATTGATTTTCGCTTAGAGTTAATTTTAGAGTTAATTCGTCACGATACGTTTATCGTGGCACGCTCGAGTTGCTCTTTCCGTAACTTAGGTCCTCGGTTAGAAGGTCGAAGCCTCCTATAGCTGCAACGATAATGCCCTCCCTTAAAAGTCAAAATAGAACTTTACGAATTCATCGAGTTCGTATTAGCGGTACGTCTACGGAGTTAGGATGCGTTCGCCTGGCCGATCCTAGAACACGATAAACCGGCGCATCCGGAACACGGTACAACAGGAAGTTGTTCGCTGCCGTAATCACTGTCAGGATTCCACGGATATTACGGAACCATGCTCGAATAATGAATGATAAACTCTTCTCTGCATATTCCGCAGATGCTCGTCTCTCGGGGTGTGCGTGTATCGTCTTTAAAGTGCATCGTCGTGGCTGCCGCAATTCAGAGAGCTGACGGAAGGTACATATGCATGAAGCAGCTTACAATTAGCCGTGCCCTCTGCTAGTCGAGTTATCCGTGCATCCTCGCCATTAGAATAAAACTATAGCGTGCTCGATAATCGATAAGTGTCCGGGTAGATCAGGTTAGCGACAGCAAGACGGAACACACGGTAGCCTATTAAACTTTAGCAAAACAGTGATTTCACGCGTTCGTTTTTCGTTGGAGTTTGCGCTCGAATGACAAAATTTTATTCTCCATTTTCGATTTATTTCTTCGCGTAGAATCACCCACTTCTCGACTGTACTATACCTGCTGGGACACCATGTATAGAATGTGCATTCCATATTAGGTAACTACGCAGTACCTTTACGCTATTTGCACTCCCG